ACCGCACAATTATTTTATCTGCGTTCATTGAAGGACCCAGCCATTTCTTAATTTAACGGAGGGGTTATATCGCCACCTGCAGGAGAAGTATGCTAGGCACAAAAACTTGAAAACACAGCCCTGGTGACGGCCCCTGCTGGTAGTTGAACCCCCCACTAGCTAACAGACAACCTCCACAGAGGAGCTGTGTCCTTTAATGAACACAGAGAAAAGGATTTTACAGTGAGTACTAACAAAAAAATCATATTTTCTCTTCCGCTCACTGAAGGACACATCGATTTCTTCATTTAATGGAAGGGACATCCTAAAGCAGTGAAAACGGAGGGGTAGGCAACCAAAATAGAACAAGAAAAGAAGCCCACACTAAATGGTCGCCTGTAGAACTTTGCAACCAAAAACTGCATCAGCAGAGGCAACAACAAGAACTTTATAAAAACGGGTAAAGGTGTGCACCGACAACCAGGTGGCCACCTTACAAACTTGAACACCAAAAGCCTAGGAAGTGCTAACATCCCTAGAAGAGTGGGCCGCAGTCATAAAGAACAGCCCCTAAGAGCGTAGGTCTGAACAATAACCTGCCAAATCCAATGCAAATTGGTGGCTGCCGAAGTTGCCACGCCCTCCCTAGAAAACTCAGTAACAACAAAAAAGGGAGTCCGACTAACGGAAAGACTCAGTAGCTGAAAGATAGACACACATAGCCCTAACGACATCCAAACAATAAAAAGCCATCTCTTTAGGAAAGTGTCGGACAAGAACAAGGGAAGAAAGGTTGATATCACTAGCTAAAAAGGAAGCCCGTGGATGAGAACCACCTTGTCCTTATGCAAGACCAAAAACGGAGGTTCACAGGACAAGACAGCCAATTCTGAAACCCTCCGAGTCGAGGTGATGGCTACCAAAAAGGACACCTCCTGGGAGAAGTTTAACAAAGATAGTTCCCTTATATTTTCAAGGGAAGTTTCTGCAAAGCAGAAAGCACCAAGTTCAAATCCCACGGGAACAAGGGAGAGTGAACCAGAGAGGAAACACAAGATATTCCCTGCATAGAGGTACGAACCAAGGACAGCGAAGCAAAGGGGCGTTGAAAAAAATTGCTAATGCCAAAACGTGACCCTCGACAGTATTAAGTGCCAAACGCTGATCCACTTCTCTTTGAAGGAAGGCCAGGACCCTAGCCACGGAAAGGGCACGCGACGACACCTAAAGTGACTCACACCACAAAATATAGGCCTTCAATGTATGATGGTAAATGTGTTGCGATGTAGACTTATAAGCACTATGCATAGTAGAGATTATATGATTATATAAGTAAATATAAGAGTAGAAATACTGACAGCAGGAGGAACTTCACTTTCATTCATGTTTAACGATGCTTACTATGTGCTTTGACGTAAATTAAATGTTAAGCTCTCATTTATCCATATGTTGTGACTACATAGACTGGACAGATTTGTTGCATTATATCAATTTATGTAATTAAAACAAATGGGGCGAGAAATACAGATGTTTGCCTGATAACCACATGAGTGAAAGCCATGTGTTAACAGACATGTCTATATACATTGTGCCTGAGTGCAAACATGTCACAATGTTGGCACTGGAATTAAACTATAAAGAGATACAGGGAGGTTGATTTATTAAATTAGTAAATTCCCCCAAAATTAAGAAGAATTTAAGCAGAGGAAAAGTAGGAACTTCAACTGTACTCGTAAAAATACAAATATAAAATAAAAAACAATTCAGTTATATATTTGTTACAAAAATAATTGAGGTTTAGAAGTTTTTTATTACTGTTGGTGAACCCAGAAATTTCCCACCACTTCTTGTCCCTGTAACCCAACATGAGGCAATCTCTGCAATTGGTATACAACAAAAAAAAAAAAACACAGACATACGAATGTCACCTGATATGGCCATATCTACGGGTGCCTAAAGGGAAACATTGAGTTTAGGTCCTGTGGTCTATTGTGCTATGCCTGTTCTAAGCTGCCTCGCTGCCCCTTGCTCTGCTGAAATACTTATATGTCTCCAGGTTTGGGCACAAGTTATAACAGGGGTAGACCCATGGTCCAGCAGCATTTTCGGTTTTAGGTCTAATTTAGTTCTTCAATACATTGTTTTGGCAACTGAAACTCATATGCTTGGATGCACCATTAATATTTTAAGCTGATTTAAAGCTCAACTTTCAGTTTCAAATTGTCTAAATACATTCGAGGTGCATCTAAACAAAAAGTGTTGAATAACTTACAGTTTATTTACTTACTCATTATGGCAAAAGCTCCAGGGGTACCTCGTAGGTTAAGTTCTGCTTTAAGAAAACAACAGTCTGAGTAGAAAAGCCTGTTCCTGTCTGCTGTAGAGATGGACTTGTGCTTCCTGTGTGGAAGCAGTGGTCTCTGTGCAGAGATTTGACACACCTCCAAACAGCAGGGAGAATATGTCTTGCTGATTGCAGCACAATGGGTTTGACTTAGTAAGGAGCATGTTGAACCTCTGAAGAAAAGACCTTTGCTTCAAAAAGGAAAGAAAGGGTCCTTTTCTGCAGAGTGCCGGCAGAGGGCAAGTTTTCCTACCAAGGCTGTGGCTGCCTTCTAAAGAAAATAAACTGCAAGACTTTCCACACTAATTGTTTTGATGCATCTGGAATGTATTTAGCTGATTCACACTAAAAGTTAAATTGGACTTTAACCCTTTCAATGACACCGACATATGTCATAAGTCACTGGCAGCGTGCCCCTTTAAACAGACTCCGCGTGAACTGTGTTTACATGTGTAAAGCCGACTGTTGGCTTAACAATGGAAGGGTTTCTGGTGGCTGAGCTGAGCACCAGCTCTCTTCCAGGGGCCGGTGAAGTGTGCCCACCCAACACCCCCTCCTTGGTTCCCTAATGACCCCCTAATGTCACCTTAAAGAGTAATGAAGAAGTTGAAGAAAAATAAGATTAAATCAAATAAATGTAAAAATACAAAAAAATGTAAGTTCCTTGGTCCCGTGAGTGTGCACATACTAACGTAAACAGAAGTCGGGTGCACCTACATACAAAAATGACGATCGTGCTACACGTTAGGTATCGCCGTGAGTGCCAGAGTGAGAGCAATAATTCTAGGACCAATATTTGCTTATATCTCTAAACTGATGACCCATACAAACGTAAATTGTCGCCTATGGACAATTTGGGGTACTGTATTTTGTTGCTGTTCCACGGACGCACGCAGTTTTCAACCTGGGCATGTTGGGTACCTCTTTCCTCATCATAAATGTATCTTTCATATTTCACAAAAATAAAAAATTGCCACTAAAATTAGCATATGTGCACTTTTTAGTAAAGTTTTGGGTTTGATAAAGAGTTGCAGTAATATCTTGCAACATACACATTTGCAACTGGCACCATTTTTGTTTACTGGCTCTTTGCTTTCAGAAAATATATAATTTTGGGGGGGTTTAAGTAATTTTCAGGCCTAAAATGCGGATTATAACATGTGTGCAAAAAACGCAAAAAAAAGTCCTTGGCAAGGACAACAATCAGAAATTGTCACATTTTAATTACACTTTTTTTTTAAAAACAATTACCTTTATGCTTATTTTTATCTTATATTTATTTTGAAGTTAATGTACCAGTTGAAGAAAACTGATGACAACAGGCTGTAGAAGAAATGATGCATTTGTAGCTGCAGGGTACAAACCTTTGAAAAAAATGTGAAAGATAATGGCAGAGCATCCTTATCTGGTTAACATAAAACCTAACTCCAGGGAGTTGTCAGTTTTTTTTTGTTTTTCCCAAGCAGTAGGTGTTCTAAAGTGATCCTTCTTAGGCAACTTTCAAAGTAATAGTGACCAAAGGTTGATACTTTGCTCGAGTAGGGACTGGGCGTGCAAGGAGGAAAACTCAAAATGCAGAAAGTATAAAGTAGAGATTTCGTTGTATTCAGATTCTTATATCATAAGGCTTAACCAGCATCGGGAGGAATCATTAGACTTATTAGACCTCAGGATCCCTTCAATTTTATCAGTCCAGTATATGCCTTGTCCAAGCCCTAACTAAAAAGTTTTGACTGGAGTTGAGTTTTAGTCTGCTATAATGACGCAAGCAACATAGGTTATTATTCACACACGCCCCTCTGAAGAAGCCCCGGTCACACACGCCCCTCTGAAGAAGCCCCGGCCATCGGGGGGAAACGCGTCAGGATAGCGTGTGTTCCAGCTTCCCGGAAACACCCATAATGGATCACTTAATGTTCGAGTGAAAGCAGGACAGGGGATCTGTGCAGCTGCCGAGTTCAGTGGATTGGACAACCTCGATGCGGTCTTTGCCTGAGCACAGCGGCAATAGATTGTACTCACTGTGGCCGAGACCGGGAGACGGGAGTGAATCCCTGTCAGTGTAACATACACAGTTCCTATTCCTCCCCGGGTCACTGAACACACTGCCGAGAGGACTTTATCAAACTTCATCCCACAGTGCGGCCGCACGAGTGGACACTCTCCCTATGGCTTCTCTCCCTCAAATTGGAATTCAATCCCACACAGTGATATAAATCAGACGGGGGAAGAAGCATAACAAAAGGAACCACTGCTCCGCTACTGAAGCGGATCCCTTTGAAAAGGAAATTGCTACAATTGGATACCACGTTGTGAAACAGTCCACTTGCAAATATCGTTGTGGGACATATTAAGCACTATTTCCACCACGAGTTACAAACACAACGTGAGTACAGTTCGGCTAGTCTATTTTTGATATATCTTCATTTTGCCTGCACCAGAGACTTCCTGCCCCCTTTTTTAGGAGATTTATATACCTGAACATTTACATCATTTCACTTGGGTGATTTAGGGAAGCTGTTTTAATGCTTTTAAATGTTTTGTATAGGTATCTTTATGTGTTTATTAATCATTAAATTTGTTATACTACTTAACTAATTGTGATCTATTCATCAGACCATCTTCTTTTTGAGGGATTTCTTTTCATAGGGGACTAGATGTTTTTGAAATGACTGACCTGTCCGTCTTTTGGGCACAAGCAGCTGATGACTTCATTAACCATTACTGGTAGATGTAAGGCTTTTCCGTGCTCTGTTTCCGAGCTCTCGTGCGTGTGTTGAAACCGGCTGGACAGAACACAATACTTGTGAAGTTTGCTGTATTTTCTGCAGATTGCTAGGCTTAGCTTGAAAACCATGGTTCTGTTGGCAGCCACCGGAGAAAAGAGAAATGAAAAGACTCAAATTAGAACTTTTGACGTCTCTAATTCCTGTTTGACAAGATGAAAAACAGTACTAACTATAATGACAAACATACTTAAGTATTTGAAAAAAACAAAGGAAACATCAGCCTTTCAAATAAATAAGGACATTCTTACCCCCACAATTTCTCATCGCAGTGCATATACAGCCTTTAGTGGCCAACGATCTTGAAGGGAAGGGTTCATAATTTTGAAGAGATGTTGTCAGATCAAGAACACCAAAAGCTACTGGCAAGTATGGGATGCAGGTGTTGTACATATCTACAGTAGCTTTCAGTATCTGTCTTTTGCCAGTATAGTTCTGACAGGTAAAGCTCTGACACTTATGGGTAGCCCTCTGCCTAGAATGGGCAACCTTTAGTGTATCAATAGGAATATGTGAGATTCAGGAAGAAATAAGAAAGTTCTAAAGCTTTGCTTGTCTCTTTAAGGGCCTGTGTCTATAGCCTTTGAGTTTGTGTCCATGGCATCAATTTGAGATGCTTCGGAGATCATCTGACTTGCTTCAGGCTGGTTTTATATTCTCACAGACTTGTATGGGAATGCAAAACCCATCTGAAGTAAACAAAGCTCACCGCGAATCTGGCCCTAATCAGATTGGTTCGGTTTGACACATTTGTACACCTCTTTGTTGATAAACGGTGGTCGGTAGTCCTAAGGCTAACGCTTGGGTTAGCATTTTTTGGCACAAGAACAGTGCCAGGATTGTTAAAAGGAGCCATTTAAAGCTCATAGCACCCCAAAGAACCATACAGAATCACCTTAATTTCACCAACTTCAATGCCGTTTTGCCAAAATGGTGAATATCCATATCTAATATCCAATGGTCAGGGCTTGAAAAATCCACTTGTCCTCTCGTCTGTGACGAGAGGACGCCGAAGCCGGACGAGTAGCTTACCAGCCGGCTTTTTTAATTAAACGGGCGTCCGGGAACTTTACATTCAAGCTATCCGGCATCTTTAGATGTCCGATCACTTGTATTAGCTGCGGGTTTACCCCCCCCACCTTGTGCCGCTGTCACTGCCGGGGCTGGGACCGGCACGGCTGCTCTGTGACAGGAGATCAAAGGGAGATCGGTACACAATCTCCCTCTGATCCCTGTATGCAGGAAGTGATGTATATTACATCACTTCCGCATACAGCTGTCATTCCCAGCTACAGAAGCTGGGGAGAAGCTGGTGGAGCAGATCTCTGCCTCAACAGCTTCTCTGGGGGTCCCTATGTGACATTAGGGATCTTGGATACCCCTGATGTCTCCATAAAGAGGATCTGTCATGTAAATTGGCTATCACATAGGGGGATTCGTATCCCCTCATGTGATAGTAATAAAATTAAGTGTAAAAAAAAAAAATGAAAACAAGCAATTATTTTTTTTGTAAATATTTTTTTTTAAGTGAGTAGAGGGGCGGCTTTAAGTCCCCCGCCCCCGGGTGCGCCTACATGCGAAAATGACGATTGCGCCTATTGTGCCGCAAATGTTACATATCACCGCAAACATCGGCGTGAGAGCAATAATTGTGTCACGTCTGCAGTTTTTACAATAGTGGATCTCAACTGCGGAGTAATAGGATCAATCAGATACGAATCTCAGGCGTCACTCACAATCTCAACGGTGAGTTTGAGATTCTACCATCACGTGATCAAAGGAAAAACAACACAATTCAACACAGTACTATTGCTTCATAGACTGTGGGTTGGTAGTTGAAACACTAGAATGCAGTGGCTGCGGCAGGGTTAAGAGCGGATACTCAGTAAGTCTAATACACAGTTCATATCAGCCTGCATGCAGGCAGAGGAGAGGTGCTCTCTCACAGATAGGGTACTTGCGATTGGCAGTAGCTGAGTGATGGCTGAGACTCCCAGGTGACTCCAGTATCAGAACTGAGCAGGTCCGTCTTCCAGATGGCAGCAGGGGGATGAGAAGGGTCCGGTTGGTGATAGTCCCATACACAGGTTCGTGAGGCAGCAGGCGTTCAGACAACAATCACAGAACGCCATGCTGCCTCATCAGTGCCCTTAAATAGGGCCAGGAAGTGAGAAGGGATCGCTGATTGGTCCGGACGACTTCCGCGTTCCACCGTGGAACGCAGCCGCCGCGTCACAACCCGGAGTTCGTGCGTCTTCCACGTTCCACGGTGGGACGCAGAGGACCGCGGCAGACAAACAAGAGGCCGCCCCGTCGGTGGCATTACAAATTGTAGGGACATTAATCACTGATAACACTAAACTGATGAGCAGTAACAGCTTTTAAAGTGTCGCTTTGACCAATTTTCGGTGTGGCCGTTTTTTGCGATTTTGCAGGAGCGCACAATTTTAAGGCTTGACATGTTTGGTGTATATTTACCCGATGTGACCCCGTCTTTTATATTTTACCAAAAATATGGGTAAGAATAAATGTTGAACATAATGTAGGGAAAACATTTTATTTTTCTAAATTTATGGTACTTTTTTCATTATATAGTAAAAAATAAAAACCCCAGCAGTGATTATATACCGCCAAAAGAAAGTTCTATGTGTTCCTAAAAAATGTGAACATAAAATACAAGGCTATAGTCCGGTCATGCTGACTGGTGACATTTTTGACTGACTGGTGAGACACCCTAAAATTTTTCAAGCCCTGCCAATGGTAAATGTCTCCATTTTTGCTGAGATTTCAGCAAAGAGAAAACTCTCAATTTTGCTCATCCCTGGTCACAAATTAGCCACAAAATGGGCTTCATATTGATATAAGACAACTGGAAAGTTACAACTAACAATACTTCTACTGCAACTATCAATACTTCTACTAACTAATTCACACAAAAACCCTTAGCAAATGTTAAAAACATTTTTTGTCTTTAGCTAAAAAGAATCATACACAATAACAAAATACAATACAAACTATTTCTGACTGATTATTAGGAGTTACTGCAGTTTTCACGCATACAAAAAGAAACAAATACAGCCGCTGTTTCCATATAATATAAATATAAAAATAAAATGATTATGCCAAAATTGTGGGAACTTTTCCATTGAAAAGATTTCTTTATTTCCTAAACTCATCAGCTGGCAGCCATCCCAATTAGCCATGTGTTCTCTTACCATTGTACAAATACCGCCAATGGCAAAGTCATTCATCCCATTCACATCTCATCTGCCCTTCTCCTGTCACTGGCTACATATTTATGTTAGAACAATGTAACAAAACGGAAATTCACATAAAAAAAACTTGCATCCTGTGAGTCTGACTCATTATGTTGAAAGAGGGTTGGGTATGGTGTATCACCTAGCTAAGAGGTTTATGGGTATCAATAATAATGATTATTATCATCTTCTTTTTGCTTTTAAGTATAGTTGATATACAGCAGCAAGAATTAAAGCGACCCTGTAGCTTTACCTGTGAAAGTAGACGGTGCATACTCACCTTTCCTGCTCCCGCGCCAATTAACTCTATTCCACTGCTGAAAAATCACCCGCTGAAGACCACGCTGAAACCAACACCTCGATCCTCTGGTCTCCCACACCTCTCACTGATTTGCCCGTCCATTACAGGATTCAGTAGTGAGGTGAAGGTCAGCAGGAGGAACCAGTGAGCTCTTTGGTGGACCCAGGAGATTGACACTCTTGAGTGTTGGGTTTCAGTGTAGACTTTAGCAGGTGATCTCTGAGGGGGAAAAAAAGGAAAAAACGGGCAGTTAACTCCTGCAGTGCAGAGAAAGCCCCACTGCAAGGGTTATCTGCTCATTTTATCTACTTACTTGATTCCCGCTCTTCCAGTTAGTGCTCACCTCATCCCTCCTATGCTCCATTTTGTGGACTGTCCCACAGCATCCTATAATGTAGGGCAATGAGCCCTGTATTGCACATGATGTCAGCGACCACCAGAGCATGGGGGGGTGGGGGGTGGGGAGAGGCTCCAGGCGCTGGTCTTGGAGCCTGCAAAAGTGGGGATCAGGTAAACATTTTTACACAATTCCCCTAGACAACAATGAGCAGTTAACCCTTGCAGTGTAAGGGTAGCCCCACTGCAAGGATAGTTTTCTTTTTGCTGTAGATGGGCTTTAAAAGAAAACTATGGGGTAACCTTTTTATCCCATAGTTCTCTTTAGGGTCACAGGAGGACATATCAGGAGGGTATCAGGGCATTTTTACAAGTACTTCTTGAAAATGCACAGTATTGTTACCGTTATCGGTGCATCCCTACTTAAAAGAGAACTATGGGGTAAGTGTTTTTCCCTGTAGTTCTCTTAAGGGTCACGGGAGGAGATATACTAACGTCCTCCCGTGACCTAAAGCTCAGTATATAGCGGGCTATTGCTAGCTATATACTGAGAGCGCGGCAGCCGGGACAGATCCCGACAATACTGTCGAGATCCACCCAGCTGGCTGATTGACAGTGGGCTCTGCCCCCCCCCCCACCTGATCCCCCAGTCAGCGCTGGAGGGGGGAATCCCTGCAGGGAGCAGGGACTGTTCTAATGGTCTTTCCTCCTAGGGATTACTTAAATCTATTTAGTGTATTCTCTCATTTTATCTAGGGTACTCAAATAAATCTGGTTTACTTGCCTGATCCTGGTTCCCACGGCGGTTAGTGCTTACGTCTCTCCCCCTCCGACTATGGACCTGCATAAAACATGATGACGGCAGCAACTTTAGACTACCGGAGCGCAGGGGAGAAGAGGCTGTGGGGACCGGTCTAGCAGCCGGAGTCAGGTAAGTAATTATGCTTCATTCCAGCCCCTACAACAAAACAAGAGCTTAACCCTTGCAGTGTGGGGGTAGTTCCACTGCAAGGTTTAGTTTATTTGTCCAACGTGCTTCTTTAAAGTGCTTGCAAACCCTATACTTATAATTGCATCTGCCTAGCCTAGTTCATTAGACTGCCCAGCCTAGACCAATAGTGTATTAATTTAAATCTGATAATTTATTGAAATACAATAAGAATTGCACTCACAAGTGACCT